CAGGAATGTTTTCTAGAGACGACGACAGGGTCGACGGACACAGCCTTTTCCAGGTGGGAGGGAAGGGCATGAAGAAAGCTCAGGGCCCGGCGCTGACGGTGGGGCCACCCGGAGAGGCGTGAAGGGTCTCCCGTACCCCCCTCCCCCAAGGCAGCGTGACAGGCAGACCAGCTCGGTGTTGAGGAGTGTCAGTCCGGCCACTGCCTGGATAAGGAGGAGGGAAGGGGCTCCCCTGAAGGCGTCAGCGTGGGATGCACGTGAGGGGACAGGACCAGGAGGGTCAGGACGAAAGCAGACAGGACCGGATGTGGGCAAACCAGAGGAGAGAGTCAGGGTGGGCCAGGCGTGGAGTAAGTCAGGGAGCAGATCGTCTCAGGAGAAGATGGAATTCGGTCCAGGAGCCTGAGTGTCTGTGGGTTAAAAGGCAGAGGCATCTAGGAGGGGCTGAGTGCCTGGGTCTGGGCGCCGGGAGGCAGATGAGAGTCATGAGTTAGAAGTGAGACCACGTGGGACGAGCATGTGTGTGTGTGTGTGTGAGTGTGTGTGTGTGCACGTGAGTGTGTGTGTGTGTGTGCGCGCGCAGTGGAAAAGTACAGCTGAGGCAGGACCCCAGGAAGACTCAGGAAGAAGGGACTACACAGGACAGAGGCCTGTCCCCAACGTGTGCTGCCCCGAGCGGTGTGTATACACGACAGCACCATACAGAAGCCCGTGCAGCCCAAAGGGGCGGGGAAAACGTCAGAGAACCCCTGATGGATCTGACTGTCCCCACCGACATCGGGCAGGGGCGGCTGAGCTGCCACCAGGGCCAGCTCTCCCCATCGCCGCCTCCTGGAAGCCCTCCAGCTGAGCTGCCACCAGGCCCAGCTCTCCCCATCGCCGCCTCCCGGAAGCCCTCCAGGCTGAGCTGCCACCAGGGCCAGCTCTCCCCGTCACCACCTCCCAGAAGCCCTCCAGGCTGAGCTGCCACCAGGGCCAGCTCTCCCCATCGCCGCCTCCCGGAAGCCCTCCGGCTGAGCTGTCACCAGGGCCAGCTCTCCCCATCGCCGCCTCCCGGAAGCCCTCCGGCTGAGCTGCCACCAGGGCCAGCTCTCCCCGTCACCGCCTCCCAGAAGCCCTCCAGGCTGAGCTGCCACCAGGGCCAGCTCTCCCCATCGCCGCCTCCCGGAAGCCCTCCAGGCTGAGCTGCCACCAGGGCCAGCTCTCCCCATCGCCGCCTCCCGGAAGCCCTCCAGGCTGAGCTGCCACCAGGGCCAGCTCTCCCCATCGCCGCCTCCCGGAAGCACTCCAGGCTGAGCTGCCACCAGGGCCAGCTCTCCCCATCGCCGCCTCCCGGAAGCCCTCCAGCTGAGCTGCCACCGGGGCCAGCTCTCCCCATCGCCACCTCCCGGAAGCCCTCCGGGCTGAGCTGCCACCAGGGCCAGCTCTCCCCATCGCTGCCTCCCGGAAGCCCTCCAGCTGAGCTCCATGCCACTGGGCTCAGGCAGCCAGGTCTGCCCGCTGCTGAAGGTTTGTCTCCAAGTCGGTCACCCTCATAATTTATCATTTGAGGCCAGCAGGGTCCTCGCGGCAGCGTCTGTGGCTGCACTCAGGGCTGTGGTCTGGATTATGCCTGCCTGACTTCAATTCCCTCCCGATTAATAAGCACATGGCAGAGCCTACCTCTGGCCACCTCGCCGCCTTGCGCCGCTTACATAGAACTCCTGCCAAAGAGTCGCACGTGGCTCGAGAGCCACGGTTTGCTGAGCCGCAGTTTGCCAACCACTGACCTAGAACTAGGATCTGCTCTCTGGTGGCAGCTCCTGGACCAGCAGAGTCTAGTCAAGGCCCAAGGTGGGGGACACACTTTGTAGCCCCGACACACGGCGAGAGCTGGGTGAGTCTTAGCTTGACTTCCTTCACCTAAGCGAGGTCCGGAACTCAAAGTCCTCTCTGAGGCTCAGTCTTTGGGGGAAAACCTAAACACACACCTGCCTGGACCCACCGCTCCTCGCTGCCCTCTGGCCTCGGTGAATTCTTTCTACCCCCGAGGGGGCCTGAAACACAGACACGGCTGGATTTTCTCAAAACCACGTGGCCCAGACGGGATGGGCAACTCCGGGGGCTCGAACGCTCTGTTCCCAGCGCCCCGTTTGGTCTGGGGTGTGGAGAAATGTAGTCACAACCTCCCTCCCCGCTCTTCCCAGGCCTCTGGGGCCTGTGCTATCAGGGCCTGGAGGAGCGGTCGGGAGGCCCTGCACCTGAAAAGTGATGGGTTCAACGTTACCCCGGACCTGGTCCCAGCTCTTAAACTGGCTGCCAGGCTGCTCATTTGAGATGCAGATCCCGGGCTCATCCTGACCAAGGGCCAGGGGTCCGCACCCTGAGGGAGCCCAGCGTGGTTCCCAGGCTGGTGTCAGACCTTCTCTGGGGCTGCCCTGCCCGGGAATCAGACACCCATCCTGGGCCCAGCTCAGAACTGCAAGTGTCGGTCACAGTCCACCTTCCCTCCCCCCTCTCCTCCCTCACCTCTGACCTCTCCTCCCTCTGCCTCACCCACCCCCCCTGGCACCCCCACTGCTCGTGCTCCGTGCCTGATAATGGGGGTGTGGCAGAAGGAACAGCCCTTTCTCTGGAACACCCTGCGTCTGGTCAGAGCAGGGCAGGCAGAGGAGCAGCTCTCAGACCAGGAAAGCTGCAGGGCGAGAAGAGAGCCCAAGGGCTGGGACGGTCCCCAAGCCATGCCCACCGTGGAGGAGGGTGTGGGAAACCGGGGCTCCAACACCCCTACTACGCACTGGACCCACCTTTCTTTCTTTTTAAAAAAAATGTTTTTATTGATTTTAGAGGGAGAGGAAGGGAGAGGGAGAGAAACACGGACAGGCCACTTCCTGCACGCCCCCTCCTGGGGATAGCGCCTGACAGGGCATTGAACCCGTGACCGCGGTGCATGGAATGGCGTTCAGCCAACTGAGCCACCCGGGCCAGGGCCGGACCCGCCTTCCTGGAGGCAGTAAAACTTTTCAAAAGCTTTAAAAATTCATACCTTTTGATCCTGAAATGCTACTTCTTGGAATTTGTCCTAAGAAAATAATAAAAGATTTACATAAAAATCTGTTTGTCGCATTTATTTATAATTATTTAAAAAAGTGGAAATGACGGAACTGCCTCTGTCCTATGGTCTATCCATCTGAGAGGGTTATGATGGGAACAGTAAGAAACGTATTTCAAAGGCTATTCAATAACGTGAAAAACTACAACAGGCTGTTACACGTAATAAATATGTAACTTCACACACACAGTCACCTGAATTTTCTTTAAAAATGTATATAGATAAGGCCTGGCCAAAAAAAATCACAAAACATTAAAGGAGGTTATCTTTGGATGGTGAGATTGTGAGTGAATTTTACTTAATGTTTTTCTGCATTTCTAAAGCTTCTATAATAAACGTGGATTGCATTTGCAGGGCTGTTCTTAAAGCTCTTAACCTTTTAAAAGGGAAATACTGAGCATCAACATGTCTTCTCCCCCTGCCTCTCGGCACTCCCCCTACCCCCGACCCTGGACGGCACCCTCCCCCTGGGCGGCGGGCAGTGGGCTCAGGAAGCCGCTCTCCGTCCTCTGCAGCCCTCTGCTCCCGCCTCTGAGGACAGAGCCGCTGGGAGGCACTCCCTGTGCTTCTCGGTGGGAACGGCCTACCGGTCCCTGAAATCCTCGGAGGGAAAAGTCACCACCCAAACCTGCAGATAAACAACCTTGCCGCGCATGCCTGTCCACCCAGCAGCAGTGCGAGGTCCCCATGGAGGCTGACTCACGGGCAGGTGGGGGTGGGTGACTCTCCCACCACTGGTGTCAAATCCTGTCACCCACATAGCAACCAGCGCTCCGTTCTCCGCGGGAGCGCAGGACGGTGCAGGGGGGCCGACGGGTGGGGGCAGGGGTGTGCCGTGCAGGAGACTGTGTTTGTTGTTCTGGAAACCGAAAGCTGCCTGGGATGAGGATGCAAAATCAAACATGCAAACAGCCACCGCTCCCCCCATCAATCAGCTCAAAGGGACAGAAACGCTGAAGCAGCCGAACCAGGGGACTGTGACCCAGAGAATTTCTCCAACGCGCTCCGGTCAGCAGGTCCCACAACCATCATGAAAACCCAGTGACCCCGTTTCTCTGACCTTCTGGGGAAATGTACATGTTTTGACCTTAAAATTTAAGGCCAGTGGACCTCGGTAGGAAACAGACTTTAAAATGCCACCGTAAACACTGGTGCCTCATGGGAAAAGATGGAAACTGTAGCCCAAGAGCAATCTGGGAGTTACTGCACTTCCCACAACCACCTGGGGCTGCAGAGAAAGGGCTGGGTCCCGACACATCATTGGGTTTTGTTTGTTTGCTTGTGTGCAGGCCTAGCAGAACAGGCACTCCCCAGGGCCACACCTCACAGGGCTCCCATGGCTCCTGGGAAGTTCCCAGTCTCCCCTCATACTGGGAAAGGGTTTGCTAAGGGGAGGAAATCCCCCTGGAATTTTCCTTAGAAATGTCTACAGCTTCCCTGCCTTCTGTGTCCCTAGCCCCGGGCATCTGCCCATGTACAGTGGGGCCTTGACTTACGAGTGTCCCGACTGACGAGTTTTTTGAGATACCAGCTGTCTCTCGGTCGATTTTTTGCATTGAGTTGATAGAGTAATTTGAGTTAACGAGCTCCTTAACGAGCTTGGTCTCGGAACGAATTAAACTCGTAAGTCAAGGCCCCCCTGTATTTGGCCCCGGATGACATTCATCCATCTGTCCATCCACCTCAGCCTGTCCCGCGAGGACATCACCTGCTGGGGAGGAGGCTCTGCCACATACTCCCCGGCTGCAAGGCCTCGGGCCATTTACTGAACATCCCATGGCCCTTTCCTCTGCTGGAAAAAGCGAAATACGCACACCTCGCAAGAGTACTGCAAAAACTAGAGATGATGTGTAAAGCACTTGGCACACAGTAGGTGTTCAATGAATGGTGGCTATAATGATGAAACAGAGGCAGGGACACAGAGGGGACAATGGAAGCCGGCTGATGCCCCTCTTGGGAGGGTCCCAGGCAACATGAACATTTGTCAAACAAAAGGGCACGTCCCTAGGACTATGTCAGAGGCAGCAAGGACCTCAAAGGCCATCGAGCCAGCGCCCTGTTTTATAGACGCCCAGAGGACAAAAGCAAGTCCCAAGGCCAAAAGCCCCAGTTACAGTTCAGGTCCCCCAACTGCCAGTTGAGGAGCTCACCCCTGGCCCTACCTGTGAGGGGCACATACCGGCCGGGCCAGGGCCACGGTCACAGAGCGGCCCACACAGCACTCTCCGAGTACACACCCACACTCACAAGGCCCGGGCCTTTTCCTTGTCTTTAACACACAGCTTCTCCCAACACTGACAAGAGGTCAGTGGATTACAAATACTCACCAGATCACCTGCCACCTGACAAACTCGAGTCTCTCTCCTGACCCCCGCCTCACAAGCCCTCTTCTCTTAGTGCTCCACATGGGCAGGGGGGGTGGTGGCGCCAACATGGGCATGGCACAGGGACGGGGAGTGCCCACGTGTGGGCAGGGGGCCGGGCACTGCTTCTCTGGGGCATTCAAAAGGGAGGGTTGGAAGGGGTCCTGCTCTGGCACCGGTGAGGTAAATGATGTCTACACAACAGTCAAATCCCGTTTTCTAAGAATACTCAACGCAGGGAGAATTCTGAAGGCATAACATTAGCAGGAAGAATAGGACACACAGCTTCCTCTCGATTCCTATCTAATATTTCAGCAGGTGACTAGATACGGACGTGCATGAACTGCTAGAAGGCAACGCATGCGAACAGTTGTCATCACTGGACTGAGGGCTAACGGGCTTTTAAAAAAGATTGCCTGAATTTTCTAGAATGCACACGTATTACTTTTATGTTTAAAAAGTCAGCGGAAAGGTGAGCACCCTTTCCATTTCTCTTCCGCGTTCCAGAAGACTATGCTGGCAAAGACGACTGAGCAGCCCATTCTCCCAGGCAATGAAGCGGCTGGGAAAACCTCCCTCCCTCCCGGACATCCGGCCTTGACTGAGGTCTGATTTGAAATTCCTCTCTTCCTCAGATCTTAACAAGGCACCCTGACCACTTCCAGGCCTGGAGGCCGACACGGATTACACAGGCCTGGGCCCAGGCCAGCCCGGCCAGCCCAAGGTGAGAACCACCTCCGGGGCCTGGCGGGTGGCAGCGTGCCAGCCTGGAGCCCTCACATTCCTCCCCAGCCCTCCCCCAGCCGCTGGGGTCAGAGAACAGGTGGAAATACTTGCAAAAATCTGTGTCCTAAAGTCAGAGCAACAGCTGAGCACCAGCCAAAGCTGTCTTTAGAAGAAACACACATGTGGCTTTGGTTTCTTTTTTTAAAGTGTGTGTGTGTGTGTGTGTGTGTGTGTATTTATATATATATTTAAATATATTTTTATTGATTTCAGAGAGGAAGGGAGAGAGAGTGATAGAAACATCTATGATGAGAATCATTGATTGGCTGCCTCCTGCATGCCCCACACTGGGGATGGAGCCTGCAACCTGGGCGTGTGCCCTTCACCGGATTCGAACCTGGGACTCTTCTGTGCACAGGCCGACGCTCTATCCACTGAGCCAAAGCAGCCAGGGCTTCTCTCTATATATATTTAATTTATTTTTTGCTTTGTCAGGTAGTCGGGAGACCACACAGACATTTCCTGGCGGCAGTGCAGGGACGTGGGTGGGGGTGAATGTGGGAAACCTCTTTCGCAAAAACTCAAAAGATTAAGAAGACAGCTGGCTGGGATCAAATCCTAGCGCTCAGTCACGAAGCCACACTGCAGGAAACGTGGCTTAGCTCTCTGAATCTCGGTTTCCCCTCCCGGAGGAGGGTGAAAATCATCGCTACTGTAGTATGTATGGTCGGAGCTCTTAAGGCAGCGGTTCTCAACCTGGGGGTCGAACGACCCTTTCACAGGGGTCGCCTAAGACCACTGGAAAACACATATAATTACATATTGTTTTTGTGATTAATCACTATGCTTTAATTATGTTCAATTTGTAACAATGAAACTGGGGGTCACCACAACATGAGGAACTGTATTAAAGGGTCGCGGCATTAGGAAGGTTGAGAACCACTGTCTTAAGGTAATTGTGAACTACTGTACAAAACGGCTTTTCACGGACTAGGACAGTGATGGCAAACCTTTTGAGCTCGGCGTGTCAGCATTTTGAAAAACCCTAACTTAACTCTGGTGCCGTGTCACATATAGAAATTTTTTGATCTTTGCAACCATAGTAAAACAAAGACTTATATTTTTGATATTTATTTTATATATTTAAATGCCATTTAACAAAGAAAAATCAACCAAAAAAAAATGAGTTTGCGTGTCACCTCTGACACACGTGTCATAGGTTCGCCATCACTGGACTAGGACTAACTCATAAAGGTATGTTATGTCATGATCATCATCAATAACTTGGAGAGACAGATGCCAAGATAGGTAGGGAACTTGTATTTGGCAAACCCTGTTTGCACAGGGGCACGGTGAGCAGGGCATGGCCACAGGCGTGACACCAGCCCTGGGCCTCCAGGCACATCTGAGCGGCAGCCTTGCTCGTCCTTGACTTCCACTTTCTCAGATAGAAACACTCATCCCCATACACACACTCCAGGCCTGCACAGGTACTTCAACCCCAAACGATACCGAATGTTCCTGAAAACCAGAAACGATCTCCACTCCACTCGGTACCAACAGTCCTCCAACACCCGCCCCCTTCCTGAGAGCCCCTCACCTACGCAACACGTGAACCTGGACAGCCTGCCCGCCTGAGGCCGCAGCTCTGAGCTGGAGCCAGGGCCCCCGCCCCTTCACCAGCTGGGCCCCCAAAACACAGCTGCTGACATGTTTCCCCGCTCGCACTCAACCCCATTCTCACAGCCGGGAACCTGAGGCTCACGCACCTGCAGCCGCTTCTCCAGAGCCTAATTCCTGCCAAAGGTCTTGGCTGAAGGCCCTGCAGGCTCAGGTGTCTAGGTGTCTGCAGAAGGAGCTGTGCGCACAGGTGTCTGCAGAAGGAGCTGTGCACACAGCAGGGGCATCCGTGCCGGCAGCACGCAGACTTGGCAGCCCAGGGAGTCAACTTGGGGTGAAGTTGGCTCCGCAGTTGTTCCGGTGGGCGCTCCCAGGCTGCCCGCCTGCAGTGAGCCCCCGACCACAGTGCACCCCTCCACCGGGGAATACTGGAGAAGTCAGCAGACAGGAGCCTTCCATCCAACGGCCCAAGGGCGGAGCTGGCCCACGGGCTGGGCAGCAGGACTCGAGGCCAGGACGGAGCCTGGCTGTGCTGTCTCCTACCTGGGCGACCTCGGACAAAGTCACTTCAGCTCTGTGGGCTGCGTTTCTTCGTCCATAACATGTGGGCTGGAGACTAGCTACTGTCCCCGGCTCCTTCAGCTCCAAATGCTGGGTTCTGGGCCCCTCCCACAGCTGTAAGTGCCGATAAAACAGCCCAACACCCGGCACCACGTCGCCCGGCTTCGGGCCCGCGACCGCGTCCCAGCTGCTCAACACGCCCTAAAAAAGAACCGGTCTCCCCTCCCTGCCCCTGCAACGCAGGACCAAGCGGCCGGTGCCACAGCCGGAGGAAGGGAACAAAATGCCCCCGTCCACAACGCCCCACGTGCACGGCCCCCTTTTAAATGGCCCCTTTTAAATGCTCTGGCCCCTTGAACAGCTTGCCCCGGCGCCCCAAGTTCAGCGGGGGTCGGG